CCAGGCTGCTGGGCAGCAGGGATAATTTCAGCTGTGCAGCCAGGCAGCCCTTCCAAGGGATAACTTTGTTTTTCACGGAGTGCAGATCCTTTATCTCTTGAAATACCATGGAAATACTCCACGTCGTCAGCGTGCTGCTCCGCTCTGGCGTGCTGCTGGAGCCTGCTCAGTGGTGCCACTCAGCACAGAGGGCTCTCTGTCCCCTGGCAGCACGCAGCCAGCTGAGCGTGTGCACCCAGGCAGACGGGCATGCCTGGCTGGCAGCAGTGCCCAGCTCCCCGGGCTGCAGGGCAGGGCTGGGCCAGAGCTGGGGCACCTCCTGCGCCCGCACTCCCGGGGCATCTCGGACAGAGCTCCGGGTTATTTTGTGTCCTGGCACATCTGGGCAGTTCTGGGTTTTTTTGCTTGAAGCGTGGTGTGTAGGGAATGTGTGCCTGTGAACATTCTGTGGTGGAAATGAAGGGCTGGCATCTGGGTGTGCTGCTGAGACCAGGCTCAGCTGGAGGCTGTGTGTGTGGAGAAGGCACCAAAACGGGCTCTGGGGGGCTGGGGGGCACCCAGGGATGCTGTCCCTGCCCTGGGGGTCCTGCCTGGGTGACTGCAGGGACTGTGCCCGTGGCCCTGGTCCTTGGGGTCACCTTGCTGTCTCTGGCACCCTCTAACCTCCACCTGTGGCGTGTGCCAAGCCTCTCCACGGGCTGCTGTGCACAACATGATGGCAGAAGCTGTGCTGGAGGTGGGGTGGGCTCTGCCCATCTGCTTTTGTGTATTTGCTCATGATGATTCAGAGGGGGAACCTGCCAGCAGCTGCCGTCCCATCCTAAATCACTGATTAACTCCAACCACCTGGTGGAGAGGTTGTTTAATAAACAAATCGGTGCTAATTGTGCATGGGGGTGCCTCTGGGGCTGGGCCAGCCCAGAGGACAGCAGTGTCTCACAGAGCAGGGCTGGGCTGACCTGCCTGGGAAGAGCAGAGGGGATTTAAAGCTTCTGGGGCAAACGAAGCATTTAATGCTGCTGCCCCAGTGCTGCGAGGGCTGGGGCTGGGCGGGTGAAGCTCCAAACTGGCAGCTGCAAATGCAGCTTTCAGGCACCAGGCTCTTGTTGCTGGATTCCTGCACGAACCGGGGGCCAGGTTGGACAGATGCAGAGTGCTCCAAGCACCCGTGGCAGGGCCCAGCTGGCCATTCCCAGCTCTGGCCTTTGCCAAAGCCCTCCCTGGGTAGCCCTGGGCTGCAGGAGCGTTGGGTGAGCCCCAAAGGGTGCTGTGCTGAGCCCCGGCTGCCTGTGGGGACAGACACATACTGCTGATGCTGAGCACCCTCGGGAAGGCAGCAGTAATCCGGCTGCTGATTAGGGTGGCTGTTCCTGGCTTACCCCTCCTGCTGGCCCTGGGGCTGGGGAGGTGCTGTGTGCTGTCCCTGCAGCCAGATGGGGGCTGGCAGTGCTGCTCCCCCAGCTCTGCCCTGCCTGGGGCAAGGGGCTGCTGGTGGCACTGGCATTGTCCTGCTGTCCCTCTGCAGGGCTCCAGGGGACAGACAGCTCGAGCCTGCTGTTCCTGCTGCTCTTTGCTGTGGGGGAAGGAAGGGGCAGGAGTCTCAGTTCCTGTTGTCCACTTGAACAGTAAATATAGGCTATTAAGCAGTTTTCTTTGCAGGAAGTGTAGAAATCCTGCTCCGTGTGAGCACAGCCTGGAGCAGCAGCATCCTCTGCTCCCCCTCTGTGGCAGCATTAACCCTTCATGGCCAGACTCAGCAGCAGGCTTGTCTGTAACCTGAACCCATCCTGCTGCTTGTGGCCCTGTCCTGGGTCCAGCTGAGGCAGAGCTTTCTGCCCTTTCAGCTTCTGCAGCAGGCTGGCTGCAGAGTCAGCTCTGGGGAGAGCCCCAGCCCTGAGCCAGCAGGTTCACTTTTCCCTGGCTGACCTGATCTTTCCAGCATGGGACCGGGCAGCAGGACCAGGCAGGGGGACATTTGTCTTCCTGACATCTCAGTTTGATGTGCTGTGGTTCCCTCAGTGTCCTAGCTGTCGTTTCTGGGGTGCTGACTGCAGACCTGGGGTCACCCCATAGTGCCGGGGTGCTGCACTCGTGGAGGAGGGGTGGGAAATCATGACACAATCCTTCTGCAAATGGCCTTTTTCAGCAGTTCCAAATTCCTTTGGAAGAGGCTTTTAATGTAAGAAGCAGCCACTTCAGTCTCCCTGTAGTAACAGCAGCCACTTCCCAGAAAGACTGAACCCTCACCAGCTGAGGAGGAGGAGGGGGACACAGGGGGCACACAGGGGGCACGGGGTGCTGCCTTGCTGCTGATCCCCTGCAGGACTCCTGGGGCTGCACAAGGTCCCCTCAGCCAGGTTTGGAGTGAGCCCTGGAGCTGGAGGTGCCTGGCTGGGGTGGAATTCAGCCAGCAATTGTCCAGCTCCCTGGCTGCCGAGGGAGGAGGAAAGTGGGGTGACCCCTGGGCTGGTGTGGGGTGCCCCCAGGGACAGCCAGAGGGGTTATCTGAGGCTGCTTCCAGGAAAGGCTGCTGCCCTCTGCCCTGCTGGGAGCCGGCCCTGTTCCTGCTGTCCCTGAGGAGGGTGTTGAGGCTGCAGTGGATGGGGAGGATGCATCACTTTTAGCAGGACATTTTGTTTAGATCCTTGGTGCCTGGAGCTGTGCAGAGGGACTTGTGTGTGCCAGGGTTCTGTCAAGGGGACTTTCCTGAAGGGATTGTCCCATCCTCACCAGCCCAGGTGGGAAAAGGGAGCCACGGGAGGTGATGATGATGATTGCTCAGGCAGGAGGATTTTTCAGGCTTTTTGTGGTGGCTTTCCCTGATGCTGTGGTTGACTGGCCAAGCCAGCAGAGAACTTGGAAGGAAAACTTGCCAGCCCCTGGTGCAGCCCTGCTGTGAGTCATGTGCAGTGTCTGGGTGGCTTTGCTCGTGCGTGAGAGGAACAGCAGATTCTGTTGAGCCCCTGCAGGATTTGGGGTTTGCTTGTTCACAGCCCTGGGAAAGAAGAACCCACAGGAGCTGAGGCTTGCCCTGTTCTCCCTGAGCCTTCCTGCTTCCACTGCAGGGGTGTTGTCCCAAAACGTGGCTGAGGGGTTCCAGGAACAGGGGATGCTGGGGCGTGGGTGGCCTGGCTGGGGCCTGGGGAGGACAATGGGGCCCCACAGGGTGGGCATGGGTGCCCCTCTCTCCTTTTCTGGCCAATCCTGCTGCTAATTTTATCCTTTATCACTGTCACTGCAGGAGTTATCTCCCTCTCCCTTGCCTATTTATAAGCACCGTGGGCCATTGCTGTCAGTGCTGCTGGCTCCAAAGGCTTCTTGGCTTTGCTCTGGCTCCTGCCTGGTCCCAGAGCCCTGACCTGCTCCTCACTCTCAGGTGGAGGAGAGGGTGACCCAGGTGAGGGTGACCCAGGTGAGGGTGACCCAGGTGAGGGTGGCCCTGGAGAGGGTGACCCAGATGAGGGTGACCCAGGTGAGGGTGCCCTGGAGAAGGTGGCCCTGGGGAGGGTGGCCCTGCCCCAGGCTCACTTTCCCAGGTGTTCATCCCTGTGCTGCAGCAGCCTCCAGCTCTGGGGTCCTGCCAGTGCTGGGCATGAGGGATGTCACATCAGGCCTGGTTCAGGTGGGGATGTGGCACATGGGATGTGGCACATGGGATGTGGCCAAGGGCTCGAGGGGCTGGGGCCAGCAGGGGCGGGGGGGAGGAAATGGCTCCTTAGATCATTTACACCATCTCCGTGGTTGTTCCAGGGCAGGCAGGAGGGGCTGGGTGAGAGTCCCCGAGCCCTGGGGCTGCTCCAGCGAGCTCTGCTGAGGGAAGGAGGCTGCTCTGCTGTCCCAGTGCCCTTTGCTCAGCCCTGTGTGAGCTGGAACACACCCTCCCACCCTCTCGAGTCCCTCTTCTCCATCCTCCCCTGGAGCACTGGGAAAGTTTCCCCAAAAAACGTGTATTGCTTCTGTAGGTGCCAGTGGAGACTCCTGGCAGCTCCAGGCACAGGAAGGGTGTGAAAGCCATGCTCGTGCCATCCTCCAGGGAGCAAAGTGCAAGTCCTGTTCTGTGTGAACCTTCTCCTTGAAGCCCCCTCTGTACTTTTCCACTGGGAAAGCTCGCAGGGATTTTCCTCTCCCTGCCTGCCTTGGCTGGGTGATTTCCTGCTGCCTCTGGAAGCAGTTGTGTGGAGGCAGCTGGGACTGAACTGGGCAGGATTAACCCCAGGGCTGTCAGCAGCGATACTGGGAAAACAGCTTTAATGCTTGGAGAAAGTTGCCAGCTCCCTTATCCCATGGGGAAAGCAAAACACTTGGGCTGTGCTGTGGTTATCTCTTGGCTGTTGGTGTCTGAGAGGAGGAAACGGCCTTTGCGTGCACACACATTTTCCACCAGTGCTGGGAAAGGGGAAACCCATGGAATTTTGGGCTTTGAGTGAAGAAATGCAGGGGGGTGAACACTGAGGGTCCCTCACACCAGCAGTGCTGCAGCCTCACGGTGCCTTTGGTGGCCTCACAGTGCCCAGGACTGTCTGTGTGTGCCAGGTTAACAGGGCTGGCCTGAAAAGCCAATCCTGGATCCACTCAGGTCACTGTGAGTAAGAACTTAATAGGATGCAGATCTCGGAGGAATCTGCAGCTCGGGAAGCAATAAAGCTCTGTGCTGCTGCCTTCCTCAGCAGCCACGAGCATGGCAGAGGTGCCATCTCTTGGGGGCAGTGTCACCGTGTGTCACCATGTGCTGCTGCCCCATGGCTCTGCGTCTGAGCTCTGGGGTGGCTCTTTTGCTATTTTGGGGTGTCATCTCCTGTAGGGTGTTTTGGGGGTGCTGGCAGGGACCCCACAGAGCCCTGCCTGGGGTGGGTGCAGCAGGGCAGCGCTCTGGGGCTTCCCTGGTGGCAGGGGTCCCTCTGTGGGTATTTCCTGGCTGGGATCGTGTGTCTGCCTGCACCCTGCTCTTGGGGCACTGTCCCGTTGGTAAGGCCCCTGTTTCCCTGCTGCTGCTCCCACAGACCTGTCGGCTGCCAAGCGCAAGTTCGCGGATTCCCTCAACGAGTTCAAATTCCGCTGCATCGGCGACGCCGAGACCGACGATGAGATCTGCATAGGTGAGTCCTGGAGCTCCTGCAGCCACAGCCCTGAGCAGGCACGCCAGGGAAACACCAGGACACCCAGGGAATTTGTCTGGGTGCTCTCTGGAAACTGCTTATTCCTCCTGGTTCAACAGCAGCACAGCCTCCCCCAGGGAATCACCGGTTCCTTCTTGGCTGAAATCTGTCCCTGCCAGATAGGAAAGGGAGAAGATTGCCTGTGTCTGAAACCTCCTCAGTTAGCTGGATGTTTTGCACTGGAGAGGAGCATCTGGAGGTGGTTGTGGCTGGATACACTGCAAGGGGCTGTGCTCTGGAGCAGAGGAGCAGCAGTGTCACACAGGATCCTGTGCTTGGGGGAATCAGCAGCGCCGAGCCTGGCAAGGCTCTCTGAGCTAAGCCTGGCTCTGCCACTGAGCTTGTCCTGGCACAGGGCAGTGGCTTCAGCCTCTTCCCTCTCTCCTCCTGCTCCTGCCCCAGCTGAACTTTTAGAGCTTATTGTGCACATCGTCTGGAGCCAGGAGAGCAAAGAAGCTTTAGCCCTGATTTAACTTTGCTTGTTTATTTGTGCCCAGTCTCAGCAGAAATAGCTCCTCATCCAGGTCTCCCTGGTGCCCGTGCTGGGGAGCTGCCCCTCGTGTGCTGGCATGGCTGGAGGGGCTGGTTGGTGACTGAGTGTTGGGCAGGGCAGGTTTGAGCTGAGGATGTTGCTGTCTGGAGGAGGAAGCCTGCTCCTGGGGATGCTCTGCTGCCAGCTGTAGGCAGCAGGAACCTTCCTAGGGAGAGAGCAAAGCTAATAAAATCCCCAACCTCCCCATCCAAAACACAGACAGACAAAACCCCTCTGTGCAGTTTCTTTCTCTAAAAACTGAATGTTAACTGCTGACTGTGTCCCTTCCAGCCAAGTCTCTGCAGGAGTTTGCCACGGTGCTGCGGAACCTGGAAGACGAGCGGATGCGCATGGTACGGCCCCAGCTGTCCTGGGAGCAGGGTGGTGGCACCTGGGACACCCTGGTGACACTAACTGCCTGCTCCAGTGCTCCTTCCCTCGCCTGGTGTGGAGCTGCAGGGGAGGGCAGAGGAAGGAGAGGGTGGCTTGGTGGGGAAACACTGGGAAAGCATCAGGAATGGAGTCTTGCTGTTGGAGAGTGGCTGGTGCTGGTGCTGGGGGGTCACAGGTGGGCAGAGACAGAGGGGTGGAGCCTGGGGGTGTCTGGGGGCTGTGGGAGGGTTTCCATGGAAAAGGCTGTGCAGCAGCAAGGTGAGCTGTGCCTGTCTTTGCCCCCAGATCGAGAACGCCAGCGAGGTGCTGATCACGCCGCTGGAGAAGTTCCGCAAGGAGCAGATTGGGGCTGCCAAGGTAACCCAGCCACTGCCCCCCGAGCTGGCCAGGGGCTGGCACACTGCAGGATGGGCTTGGGCACGGGAGGAGGCAGTGTGCTGCTCTGGGATGGACACGGGGCCATCCAGCTCCCGGGAAGTGCCTCAGTGCTCTGAGTTCACCCACAGCCAAATAACGTGCCAAGGGCAAAAAACTGCATGCCAGCCAAAGTGAACTTTTTTCCTTACTCCAAGGAAGAGTTAGGATTTTCTTGGAGGGGCTCACAGTGTCCTGAGTCCCCCAGCCTGCACTCCCCACCCCGAGGCATGGCTGGGGGTTGCACAGGAGCCTGGACACTTCTGGCAGGACGGGGCAGCGCCGGTGTGGCTGAGGGCGGCTGTGAGACAGCCTGGCCCCCCCTCTTTCTTTCCTGCCTTTGTTCTGAAATGAAAACCACTGTCTGTGCCTCCCCTGTTGTTATAACAACCTGCTGCTGCCTGCAAGCAGCTCATGCCAGCGCCCGGGGCTGTGTTTGCATGGCAGCAGTGCCCAGCCTGGCCCCTGCAGCTGGAGACAGACAGGAGTCCTGCAGAATGCACCTGCTGGCATGGATGGTGTCCTGGCATGCTGGGCTGGCCAGGCTGGCACAGGGGTGCAAAGGAAAGTGAAGCTGGTGTCCTTAATGCTGCTGCCACAAACAGCCGAGGTGCTGTGTCATTGTCCCTGTCACACAGAGGAGAAGCTCTTGCAAGGGGTGGCAGGGTGGGATGTGAAGTTGTGACCATGTTCTGCTTAGAAAGAACTTTCCTCACTCTGTTGCTTTTGGACCTGGATCTGGATGTTTTACCAAGCACTGGGCCCCAGGAGCAGAGGAGGGGTTCCCTGAAGCCTTGGGTTTTGGCAGCATAAGCTGCTTTCCTGTAGCTGCTGATGCTGGCAGATAAAAGCAGCCTCACCTGCTTCCAGCTGCTGCCCCCAGGTCCTGTCTCTTGTTAGATCCCACCTGGGACTGCCATCCTGCCCAGTGCCACAGGGACGCTGTCACAGCTGCTCTGGGACCGTTGTGTTCAGTGTCACACTTTTTGTCCTGTTTTGTAGGATGCCAGAAAGAAATACGACAAGGAGACTGAGAAATACTGTGGTGTCCTAGAAAAGCACTTGAACTTGTCTTCCAAGAAGAAAGAATCCCAGCTTCAGGAGGTCAGAGCAGCCTCTGAGTTTCCATGTCTGGCTGTGACTGTGGAGAGCTTTTTGAATGTCTCACACAGCTCATAACAATGGTTCTCCTGGCTGTAAACTCATTATTTCCCTCATTCTGGCTGCGGGTGCTGGGTTTTCCCCTTTTCCTGTAATGAAAGGATATGGAGCTTTCTTGGTGAGTAAATCAGAGAGATCCCAAAATGGATAGCAATCAAAAAGGAGAGAGGGTTTATAATTAAAGAGCGTAACAGAAAGGAACTGGTTCTGCTGCAGCTTCCCGTGTGCCAGCACAAATCATGGATGTCTGGTCTCCTCCTCTGCAAGTGGCTGCTCTGCTTTGTGCTCCAGGGAAGGAGGGATCAGGCTTAGTGCCCTAAACTCTTTGAGAGCCATCAGTGACTCAGGACATGGTTAGCTGTGGTGACAAGGGCTCCCACTGGATGAGTATGCTGAGTTATCAATCAGTTATTTTAAGTCTGGAATTCCTTGTGCTGGCCCAGAGCTGAGTTGGTCCTGCAGGATGTGTGTCCTTGCCCTTGGGCGTGGTGCTGGTGTGCTGCTGATCCCTTACTGGGGGCACTGGTGGGCATGGGGCTCCTGTACCCAGGTGGTGGGACCGTGCCCAGCAGAGATGGGGATTTTAGAGCAGAAATACCTGGGGCTCAGGTGATCATGTCCCAGCAAATCGGGGCTGGGGAGGGCTCAGAGTCTGGGCAGATGTGCCTGCAAGCCAGCCCTGTCCTTGGGGTTTGTAAACAACTTCCCATGTGGAAGCACCCAATGGGAATGGTGTCCCAGGGAATGGTGGCCTTGAAATGACCCTCTGAGCCTGGTTTAGTTCGAGAAACTGATATGGGGCATGGGAGTGGAAGGAATTCTGGCTGGGGAGGGAAGGATCCACTCGTGGCTGGCAGAGGTGTGATCCTATGCCCTGGACAGAGTGTGGCCCTGTGGGGCTGCCTGGAGATGCCATATGGGATTCAATTGGGGATTCAGTGTGGGATTCAGTTTGGGATGCATTTTGGGATTCAGTTCGGGATGTCTTTGGGATGCAGCACAAGATTCAATTGGGGATTCGGTTGGGGATGTGTGCGGGATCAGTGTGGGATTCTCTTTGGGATTAGGTTGGGGATATGTGCGGGATGTATGCGGGATGCAGCATCGGATTCAGCTGGGGATGTGTGCAGGATTCAGTTTGGGATGTGTTTGGGATGGAGTTCAGGATTCAGTTGGGGATGCGTGCAGGATTCTGTTTGGGATGTGTGTGGGATCAGTGTGGGATTCTGTTCGGGATTCAGTTTGGGATGTGTTTGGGATGCAGTTCGGGATTCAGCCGGGGATTCGTGTGGGATCGGTGCAGGATGCAGTTTGGGATGCAGTTCGGGATTCAGCCGGGGATGTGTGTGGGACGCAGTTTGGGATGTGTTTGGGATGCAGTTTGGGATGCAGTTTGTGATGTGTGCGGGATGCAGTTTGGGATGTGTTTGGGATGCAGTTCAGGATTCAGCTGGGGATGCAGTTTGGGATGTGTTTGGGATGCAGTTCGGGACTCAGCCGGGGATGTGTGCAGGTTCGGTGCGGGACGCCGGGCGCTGTGCAGGTGCGGTGGAGCAGCGCTGCCTGCTGGTGCCATCTGGTGGCATCTCCCACCCGGGCCGTGGCTCGGGAGGCAGGAGGAGCCCCTGGAGCAGCTCCCGGTTCAGGGGCTGGTTGCTGTTCCCCGTGCCCCTGGGAAGTGTACGTGGTTTGTGTGGCTCGGACCCCCCGAGGGAGGGGTTACCTTAGAAAGAGGATTCAGTGGAGTTGTGAAAGGTGGATGTGGCATCCCTGGCGAGGGGGAATGCTCTCCAGAAAAGGGAGAGTTGCCTTTTCTTGTCAGGTTCACAGATTTCCATTTTTCTCGCCTCTGCTGCATGTTTTCTACCCAGCTGTTGGGGAGGTGAGAACATGAGTCACCACACCCATTTTCCTCAGCTGAAGGAAGAGCTTGCTCATGTGGATCAGGTTTATGTTTACTGCTGTGCCATTGTCCAGCTGGGACTGGGGGCTGCAGCTGGGTTTGCTGTGCTTGGGGTGCTCCCATCACAGCCAGGTGTGCTCTGGTCGTTCCTGAGCTCTTTTCCTCCCCCACCCCTCTGCAGGCAGACAGCCAGGTGGACCTGGTTCGGCAGCACTTCTACGAGGTCTCCCTGGAATATGTCTTCAAGGTGCAGGAGGTCCAGGAGAGGAAGATGTTTGAGTTTGTGGAACCTGTAAGTGAGCTCAGTCCGGCTCAGCCTGCCCCAAACCGGGGTGGTGTGGTGAAAGGGGGTCATGGGGAGCCCTGGCAGTGCAGGGCCAGCCTCACCCCACAGCCCCTCTCACAGAGGGCCCCCAGGGAGCCCCTCCACCCTGGGGGCTGCAGGGCCCCCTCCCCTCAGCGCTGGTGCCTCTAAGTCTCCACTGACCATCTCCACTTGCTTTTTCCCAATGCAGCTGCTGGCCTTTCTGCAGGGGCTGTTCACGTTCTACCACCATGGCTACGAGCTTGCAAAGGACTTCAGTGACTTCAAGACAGAGCTGACAATCAGCATCCAGAATGTGAGTGTGCCCGGGGTGTCCCTGTGCCCGGGGTGTCCCTGTGCCCAGGGTATCCCCATGCCCAAGGTGTCCCCGTGCCATCGCTGTCAGTGTCTCCAGAGCCACCTCACCTTCTGGTGTATTTTAATCACAGAATCCCAGACTGGTTTGGGTTGGAAGGGGCCTTAAAGCTCATCTAATTCCACTCCCTGCCATGGCAGGGACACCTTCCACTGGCCAGGCTGCTCCCAGCCCCATCCAGCCTGGCCTTGGGCACTGCCAGGGATCCAGGGGCAGCCCCAGCTGCTCTGGGCACCCTGTGCCAGGGCCTGCCCATTCTCACAGGGAAGAATTTTTTCCTAATATCCAATCCAAATCTCTCCTCTTTTAGTTTAAATCCATTTCCCTTGTCCTATCACTATCAACCCATGTCAAAAATCACTCTCCCTCTTTTTGTAATCCCCCTTAAAGCTCTGGAAGGCCTTGCCAATTTTTGTAATATTTTTGCTGTAGCTTAAATGCAGACCCAGGAAGCAAACCTGGCCTGTGGCTGCCCCTGGGCTCCCCAGCCCCATTTCCCACAGGGCTGTGGGACCCAGCCCCACCCCATGTGCTGCAGGGCCAGGCACAGCTCCCTGCACTGGAGAAGACATTCCTGTTTTCATTTGCAGACAAGGAACCGCTTTGAAGGGACGAGGTCAGAGGTTGAAGCTTTGATGAAGAAGATGAAGGAGAATCCCCACGAGCACAAAAACATCAGCCCTTACACGATGGAGGGGTATCTCTACGTGCAGGAGAAGCGTAGGTGTCGGGCTGGGGAGTGTGGGGTGGCAGCCTGGGGAAGGGGCTTGCCAGGACAGGGGCACAAAGGCTGATTCAGCAGATTCAGATTCAGTCAGAGTCCCTGGGAGGCAGGGACTGGCCCAGTGAGGGGTGCTCAGTGGGAATGTGGCAGCCAGGGAGAATCCCTGCCAGTGCCTCAGAGGAGTCTGTTAGGTGCAGCAGCCTGGCAGGTGAAATGGTGGTTAAACACAGAGGGTTCCAATGGGAGGGCACTGAAAGTGTTCTGTGTTTGCTCTGCAGGTCACTTTGGCACTTCCTGGGTGAAGCATTACTGCACCTACCAGAGGGAATCGAAGCGCATCACGATGGTGCCCTTCGACCAGAAGTCAGGAGGGAAAGGGGTGAGTGCTGGGGGCAGGGGAACAGGGGTGAGTGAGTGCTGGGGGCAGGGGAAAAGGGTGAGTGCTGGGAGCAGGGGAACAGGGGTGAGTGCTGGGGGCAGGGGAAAAGGGGTGAGTGCTGGGAGCAAGGAAAAAGGGGTGAGTGAGTGATGGCAGGGAGCAGAGCTGTGTCCTGCCAGGGAGCACATGGCACTGCTGGCTGCAGGCTCTCTTGGGGCTCAAACTGTGTCACCTTTTTGGCAAGGTGACACAAAGGCAGTGAAGTGGGTCACACTGATTCCAGGCTGAGTGGCTGCCACACGGGGAATGAACTTGGCACTTGGTTTGAGAAAGAAAAGACAAGAACCCCCAGAGCCCACAGATCTTTGCCAGCCACGTGCACCCACTACGCTCCAGCTCCATGGGTTCTCCTGCTCCCCAGTCCCTCATTCCTTCTCCAAGGCACAGACAAGAGAACCTGTTCATTATTTTGTTCCTTCTCCAATGCCTGTGACTTGTCCAAGGCCAGGCTGGATGGGGCTTGGAGCAGCCTGGTTGAGTGGAAGTGTCCTTGCCCATGGCAGAGAGGAAAAGGATGAGCTCTAGGTGCCCTTTCCACCCCAATCGTTCAGTGAGTCTCTGATGATGCTGTGACTTGGCCAGTGGAGTTGTTTTGTTTTGGACAGAGCCACAGCAGAGCCTGGAGCTCCCCTTGGCCCCGAGAGGGTGTGAAGAGCAGGGGGAGCAGTGGGTGTGGGGAGCCAGCACAGGCTGTGTCCCAGTGCTCCCAGGGCTGTATCAGGGCTGTTTGCTCCTCTGTACAGCAGAACAATAGACCCATCCACAGTGTTCCCAGCTGGGACAGTCTGCAAACACAATCCCCTTGCTGGGGAGTGCCTGGGGCAGCTGGACAGGCTCCCACACGGCTTCCTGCTGGCACGGGGAGCCCGCTGTGGGCAGGGAAGCTTCTAAAATTAATTTCCTCTTGCCTTGGAGCATCTTCATTGTGGCTCAGCATTAACATATCCCAGCCCTGTAATCATCAGTGGCTGTACTGTGTTTTGGCTGCTCCCTTCCCATTTCAGGGCTCTCCCAGCACCCAGGGCTGTGGGAGCTGCTGGCAGCAGCCTGAGCCCCTCTCCAGGGCCAGGCTGGAGCCCGTCTCCAGGGCTGTGCTGGCACTTGGGGCTTGCAGCACCATGAAATGCTGCCTGTGCTGGCTCCAGGGTCTGCCAGTGGTGACCACATGGACATCTGGGCATGGAGCAGCCCTGGGGCTTGGGGCTGCACTGCTGGGAGCTCTGGGGTCTGGCTGGAGCAGGTGCTGAGGTGCTGCATGAGGAGACCCATCACTCCTGGGTCACAGGGGGTGCCAGCCCCTCGTGACCTTGGGCTGTGGCCAGAGCTGGGTATTGGTGGGTTTGGAGCAGGGGCATTCCCTGAATTCTGGACAGGGAGCTGGGCAGAGTGGGAGCAGCCTTGTGCTGGCACTGGGCCAGGCTGGGGGGCACCAGGGGCACTGCCAGGCCTGGGGAGAAGCCCTGCAGGGGCTCTTCTGTCTTCCCGGGTCCGTGCTGGGTCCCTTGTCTGGGACAGGAGAGTTCTTGGTGGGTCAGAAGCCATGGAAGCACATGAGAACAGCCAGGTTAGGGCTGGTTTGGGGGCAGGCTCAGAGTCAGCAGAACAGCATCTACAGCAGTGCCTGCAACTTGGGCAAGCAGCACGAGGAGCAGGAAAAGTGCTGCCATCGTGGAGGCACGGTGGGATGGGGAGGAGTGAGGTGGGATGGGGAGGAGTGAGGTGGGATGGGGAGGAGTGAGGTGGGATGGGGAGGAGTGAGGTGGGATGGGGAGGAGTGAGGTGGGATGGGGAGGAGTGAGGTGGGATGGGGAGGAGTGAGGTGGGATGGGGAGGAGTGAGGTGGGATGGGGAGGAGTGAGGTGGGATGGGGAGGAGTGAGGTGGGATGGGGAGGAGTGAGGTGGGATGGGGAGGAGTGAGGTGAGATGGGGAGGAGTGAGTGTCAGGGAGTGCTCTGGCTGTCAGGAGCTGAGTGGTGCTGGCACTGGGGAGGAGTTCATGGGTAAGAACCAGGGAGTCACCCTCCCTGGGGGGATTTAATGAACGTGCAGCTGTGGCTCGTGAGGACATGGATCACTGGTGGGCTTGGCTGTTCTGGGCAACTTTCAGACTCTCTGTTCTTTGAGGTCTTTTCCAATCTAAGTGATTCTAAATGTGTTTCCTGGAAAAATGGTGATGTCAGGGAACAGCGTGGTCAGCCAAGGTGTCATCAGGAAGAGCACAGAGAGCCCAGAAAAGTGTCTGTCTCCAGGAACTCCTTCAGAATTCATTTTCTCTTAAGTCATCAGTGGAATTTCACGGTTGCAGAGGTGTCTGTGCTGGCAGGGGCTGAGGCAGGATTCCCTCCAGCAGAGGACAGCAGTGCTCACACATCCTGCTGGATGGCTGCTCAGCCCTCTGGAAATCTAGTACACCTTGGATGCAGAGAGGCATTCTCTGGGTGGGAGAATGGTTTTGTCATTGCTTTGTTATATAATAAATATTTTAAGACGTGTTTGCTCCTGTTAGGAGTCCTCGTGTGCACACTGCTGCCAAAAATGCAGCGTGGAGTGCAAACTGCCAGCAGGTCTAGGGAGTGCTGTTCAGCAATGGAAAATAAAGCTGATTTTGCCCAAAAGTTGTGGTCCAGCAGTACCTGCCCACATGAAGAATGGGCTGTGTGGTGCTTTATGCACAGATTGAATCGTGGGCATCCTGAAGGGAAGGCTCCTCATGAAAGGTTTTGGACTAAATAAGGGTAAAGAAGACAAGTCCTCCTGTCAGGGATATAAATAGATGTTTTTAGCAGGTGAAGCTGCCAGATCCCCCAGGTTTGAAGCTGCTCACTGACAGCTGGGGACAGGCCTGTGGCTGTTGGTTGTTCTCAGCCTCAGCTGTGATTTTGTCTCTTCTCAGGGGGAGGATGAAGCTGTGACCCTGAAATCCTGTACCCGGCGGAAAACAGACACCATTGAGAAGAGGTTCTGCTTTGATGTGGAGGCTGTGGACCGGTGAGTGCTGCCAGGCAGCTCCTGGGGCTGTGCTGGCCCTGTGCAGGGAGGGCTGTGCTCCTGCTCGTGGCTGTGGGACAGCTCCTGTGCAGTGCCGTGTTTCTCCCCGTTAGTCACAGCCTCTGTGAGTGGAAAGCATTAGTCCGTGGAATCACACCTTTTCCAGGCAGGTGCTCTCCGTGGACTGAGTCAGTGCTTTGGTTTACAAGTCTCTGTGACTCAGGGCTCTCTGACTTTGAGGGTGTTTCAGCACTCCTGCAGCCTCTGGCCACACAAGGTGAGCAGTTGCCAGCCTGCAGAAGGTGCTCTGTGGCTGTTCTGGGAGGGATGTGCTGCCTCTTCCAGCACTGGGGTGTGCTGGAATAGTGTCAGCTTTGCTGCTGGTTCATCCTGGATGGGTGATAATGGACTCTGGCTCGTGCCTCCAGGCACTTTCACTCCTTTTTTCCTGAAGAAGGAAAACCCTTCTGCTGACTTATCTCACAGCAGCTGGAGCAGAGGTGTGTGTGGATTCAATCTCTGGCACCCAGGAGTGAGAGCTGCTACCATATCAGCTAGCATCATGCATGGCTTACACATATAAACAGGAAAGCCAGGCTGCTGTTGCTGTTCCAGGAGGAATTAGTCACTGCCTCGGGTCTCCCTGGCTGCAGAAGTTCACATGGTGCACAGAAGCCTGCTCCAAAGGCACTCAGTGTGTTCTCCCAGTTTGTGCCTGTCCAGCTGTCCTCCCATCTGCAGGAATCCCCTGGAGGTCTCAGAAAAACCCAAGTTCATTAAGATCTGTGTGTTGAATAGTGCTGGAATAACCCCTGGTGCCTGTCCCTGTCCAGCCTGTGCTTGGGCAGCGTTTTGGTGCCAGCCTGAGGCAGGGAGGGTTGGGGTGATGGCTGAGGGAGGAGATAACCTGGGGCTGCCTCCCACTCTCTGGAGCTGTGCTTTTCTCCAGAAAGCTGCAATATTTCTGCTGACACAGGAATTTTTTTTTGCTGTGCCCTGAGGATATTTTTTTATAATGTGAAAATCAAACTAAAAAGAGGGAGAGGGAGAACGGAGCCACAATAATTTTTTTTTCAGCGTGTTCAGAGGCAGCTGAAGCTTCTCTTGATGTTTGGAGCCTGCCAGGCATGGGATCAGGAGCTGCTCCAGAAATCTGCATGCTCCATGTAAATCATGGCAGTGGAGTAGCACAGGAAGGGGAAACCTGAGGAATTTCTCCTTTCATGTACATTCCTGCTGCAGGGATTTGCCTGAGAGAGCAGGACACACACCTGAAGGAAAAGTCTGTTTTTTCCCAACACAGGCAGCTCTGCATTCTCTTGGTATCAGAATTTGTCATTAGATGTCTAAAATATTGGATATTCCCAAGATAAACTTAGGAGGAAGAGGAAACAACAAGTTTTGCCACGGCTGAGAGGGGCTGTGGTGTGCCCAGCCTGAATCCCTGCTCCTGGGGTAGGTCTGGGCACCAGCAGGTGCTGCTGGCAGTGCCAGGGTGCGCTGAGATCACCTGCACCGTGCCAGCTCCGGGGCCTGGGCTGTCCTGCAGCTCTCAGACAGCCTGGAGGTGGCAGCCTCGGCCGTGCTTCAGACACTGCACAGAAACAGGGCTTTTGTCAGCCTTGCATTTTGGGAGCTCAGACAGCACGGGCTGCGGGGCTGGAGCTCAGCAGTAACACCCTAAATAGCACCAGCCAAGAGCTGTTCCTTCCTAGGTGGGAAAAAAAGTGTGTTTTCCTTCTGTAAAGATGATTCAGCACAACCAAGCTGAAAATCTGGAGCCTGATCTGTTATTACAGCATTGCTTCCTTGTCTCAGAATCCCAGAATAGTTTCTGTTGGACCTAAAAACTCATCTCATTGCACCCCCTGCCCTGGGCAGGGACACCTTCCACGAGACCAGGTTGCTCCAGCCCCCTCCAGCCTGGCCTTGGCATTTACAAACAGCTCTCATGTTCAGTGTAGCAAGTTAGAAGTATTGTACTGTGTTTTTACAGCAAAATTAACCCCAGAATGGTGTTCTAGGGTCTGGCTGAAATACATCCCCAGCGTGATGGATACTGTGTTTTACTGCTAATGCTCTTTTTTCATTAACTACACTCCTTTGTAGTCTCTGCACATTAAATCAGGTTTGTAAACAAGGTGAGCAGGGATGTCAGCCAGTGTCTTACAAAATGAGCCTGGGGAGGAGGAGTATGTCATTTGACTGATGACAAAGGCTTTGTCATTTAGGATGATGTAGGTCATTGCTCTGGGCCAGAAGCAAACTGCTCCTAGGTGCCAGCTGGCTTTTAGGGGAGCAGGAGCTTTTCAAACGCAGGGTTTGGTGTGTCAGGAGAGCAGTGAACTCTGCAGGTACCACCATTGCCCTAGACTCTGCCTGGTGCCCCAGGGTGACTGGCACCACACCTGGACACAGTGGAACTGTAGAGCCAGAATCCCAGAGCCCTGAGGTGGGAAAAGACCCCCAACACCATCCAGTCCCAGCTGTGCCTGGTCCCCACCTTGTCCCCAGCCCAGAGCACTGAGTGCCACCTCCAGCCCTTCCAGGGATGGGCACTCCAGACCTCCCTGGGCAGCCCCTGTCAATGCCTGACCACCCTTTCCATGCAGGAACTCTTCCTGAAAGAATTGGCACAGGAGCTGGGTGCTTGGCATGGGGCTGGGAGGGCTGCCAGGCACCTGCCAGTGCTCCCCTGAGCAGATGGTTTTCCCCAGGAGGGCTGCTGGCCTTGCTCTGGGAGTGCCCTTGAAGATGCAGGGCTGTGACCTGTCCCCTGCTCGCCATGCCAGGTGACCCCAGCCCTGCTGTCCCTGTTCTCTGCCGGTGTCACCTTTCCAGCCACCTTTAAAACAAAGCCTGGGGGTTGTCACAGTGAGGGATGAGGCTCCTTGCCCTGGTGGCCACGGTGGCCCCAACCCCTGCAGAATGTGCTGGTGCTGTCCTGCTGGTGCTCGGAGCTCCCCGTGGGCACCCAGACCCTGTGAGCTCAGGGTCAGTCTCCCCCTTAACTCCATCCTTGCTCACCAGCTTCTTGGGGCCAGTCTGGCTGCTGGTGTCTGGCCCGTGGCTGTGGGGTCCTGTCAGGGCTGCTGTGCTCTGCTCAGGACTGGGAACATCTATGCACTCAGCCCAGCTCAGCCCCTGTTATTAATGCACTCTTGTGTGTTTTCATCAGCAGTTTAGATTGTCTCGCTGTGATAAGCTGCTACAGCAGTTGGAAGTTCTTATCTGTTTCTATTGCTTTCCTTATTTGTTTGTTTTCCTGGAAGAAGGAAAAGCTATTGCAGTTTCTCATTTTCTCAGTGTGCTTAGTCACAGCTCCTTAAGGCCAGGCCATTTGTCACAAAAGCTGAGATATTGAGAAAATTCAAATTTCCTGTGTAGTCTCATATGGAAAAGTCTTCCATTTTTAGATTGTAGCATATTGAAAATATTCTTTCTTATTAAGTGTTTGCCATGTTCTGCTCTGGTCTCACCCTCCTACACGTACTCCATTTAGAAATGGATTTCTTCTGATCCCAAAATGTCCCTTCCCCTCCTTGTGTCCCAGAAAAAGGCAGAGGGGTTTGGTGGAAATGTGGGATGCAGCACCTAGAGTGAATCAGCAGGTCCTTGATGTCGTTTGCCACAGCAGCTCAGGTTCCAGGAGGGTGTCCTGCTGTCTGTGACACAGCTGGGGCTGGCTGGGGTGGGCTGGCTCCACGTGGGTCCAGGGGCATCCTGTGCTGGGAGGAGGTGGGAGCTGCCCCACAGCAGAATCTGTATTTACTGTATGTCCTCTTTATAAATAATTATCTGCATGAGTGACCCCCAGCATTCGGGGTAGTTTGTTGGGTGAGGGACAAGGACAGATCCCTTTTGGGAAGGGACATCCGAGCAGGGTTTTGCCCTGGCTGTGGGAGGGGCTGCTCCTCAGGAGGCTGGGTGAGGATGGAGCTGTGTGCAGGCAGTGCTGGTGCTGGCAGGAGGCTGATCCTGTGCCAGCCACCCGACCTGGCTGTGAGCACATGGAGCCCCGTGGGCATCGGCCACATCCATAATGAATGAGGTGTAATGTGTGGGTGCATTTTAAATTTATCACAGCCAGGAAGATGGTTCTGCTCAGGAAAGTGATGCAATGGGTGTCCTGGCAAATAAACACTGGGGGAGGAAATGCAGGGCTATTTGCAATGGAAATTGGGTTTGATTCAGTTTCACAGCCCCTCCCCTCATGCTGTTAAAGAAGTTTGACTTTGAAGTGAAGCCCGAGGAGTTGTTATCTGCTCAGAGGCAGAGCAAACATTTTGCTGTTATCACCTCTTTGCCCTGTGCTGAGGGAAGCTGGCACTCCAGATACCAGCACTGCCACTCTGGGACCCGGAGTCCAGTGCCCAACATACCATGAATGGAGGGTTTAAATTTCTCTGCTCTATTTCTCTGGCTAAAGAGACAGAAATCCCAGAATTTCCTTTCCTGTGTGCCTCTAGCTGAGCTAGAGCCCCTCCAGGGCTTTCTGACTGAGGTGTCTGTGCCTTCAGCAGCAGCTTGGCTTAAAGTCAGACCTAAGCCCTGGCTAAAGTGGCCACTGCAGCTCCCCAGGTACCAGGGACTGCTCTTGGGTCACTTTGTACCTGCACAACAAGGAGCTTTGTGCAGTGTTTTGAACAGATTTGCTGTTGGATGTGGAGCATTTTCCCTCTCAGATGGGGTGATGGTTAAGTGGTTTCCTCTTCCCTCTGAAGTGAGTAAACTTCCAAACCACTAAGCTGGTGAGTATTGACTGACTCACCAATGGGATTAGCGGAGATCAAGCACATTATGTCTGGTTTTTGGACCTGGGCACAGCTTCCACTGGTGGGACAGTGCTGAGCTGCCGTGTGCCTGCTGAGAGCTGGGCTGGCTGGATGGGGAGTGGGGTTAGGGAGAAGGGTTAATGCTGGGTTCCTGGCCTGTGCGTGCCACAGAGCAGCAGCAGAGGGGCCAAGCCCACCTCTTGAGAGCCCCTGTTAAAGTTTAATTTTCTTACAGGCTCTTATCAAGGACCAAAGGGCATCTGCAGAGTGTTGGTGCAGCTCACGTTTTCCGGCTGAATCACCCTTGGGAAGTTCAAGTCAGAAATCACCCCTCTCCCCAGGCTTTATCAGGTTTTGGGGGTTGAGTACCGAGCAGAGCCTACGTGCTCAGTGGAACACTGCAGGTGGCTGGCAGTTCCCGAGGTTTAATCCCCCTTCCCTTCCCTCCCTCCCTGTGCCCCGCAGCAGCTCCTGGCTCCTGTGCCCTTCAGAGCCCCTGCTCTGCTGGGCTGGGAAGAGCAGCACCGAGGCTGTGTGCTGTCACAGCCCAGTGTTTGAAGCCCCACGGGCAGCGAGCTCAGCAGCCCCCCTGCGTGTCCCCGTTGCCAGGGAATCTGCTCGCCGTGCTCCGGGGATGCTCGCTGCTGTGTCTGGGAGCAGCCGGGGAGGGAGCGGCAGCGCCACACCAGACACACGGACAGGTCTCGCTGTCTGTCTGCCTGAGCCCGGGAGCAGCGCCGGGGGGATGTGGCCACCCCCTGGAGCTGCAGAGCCAGCCCAAAGGCACAGGCTGGGGAGGAGCAGGCTTAGCCAGCTGTGTGCGTTGGGATCCAGGCTGCAGGATGGGCCGGGATGTGGAGGTGGAAATCCTGGAGCTCACAGCCAAGCACAGCACAGTGAGATGGCAGCCCCTGGTGTGGGATCACAGCTCCCACCCTCCGTGTCCCCACACCCCCACCTGAGGCTGTGCAAACACTGTCCTGTCAAATCCATCCTCGCCCTGCTGGTCACGTTTAACAGAGCAGGTAATGGAGGTTTGACTCCTTGCATGGAAAGGGTGGTCTAGGAGTGGCCACAGCTCCACTGAGGAGCGTGGAGGTGGCGTTGGCCCTCGGGCAAGGGCAGTGCCACTGCTGTCCCCTGCTGCTGTGCTGTGTGTGCAGCACCCAGGCCTGTCCTTTCCCCTTCTCATTACAGTAAATTAGCAGTCCCAGGGCTGTTTGTTGGAGGCTGGATTGACAGGGCAGCTCAGGGCTGTGGTGTGTGTGACAGTGCTGGGGGCAGGAGCGGCACCCTGGGCACCTTGGGACTCCTGCACTGCTCCCCCTGTGAGGCTGCTGGAGGGGGACAAGGACCAGCATTGTGCCACTGCCGTGTCTTACAGCAGGGTATGGACAGGGGCAGGGGGCTGGCACAGCCATGAGGGCACGGACACCTTGGGGATGAAATGCTTTGCACAGAAGAAGGTCTCCTCCGTGAGCCTGGTGCTTGGGGTGCTGGTGAGACACGGGGGGCTGGGATGTGTGGGGCTCCTGCTTGCTTGGTTACCTTCCTTGCTTACCTTCCTTGCCTTCTCCTGCCGTTGCATGGACGTGCTTTACCCAGTGCAGGTGAGCTGGCTGGCCAGGGGCCAGAGGAGGAATTTGGCACCCAGCTCTCACACAAAACCACTGCCAAGGTGTGTTGGTTGTTGGAGATGTCCTCTGCTCCTTGCTGATCCTGGTCAGGACCTGCAGGGATGTCCATGGCTTTTGACCTCCTTGTGCTGGGGCTTGCCTGGGAAGGAGCTCGTCCTCCTTCCCTCTTCCCCTCATGAAAAATTCATCTTTGCCACCGTTGCCTCCGGTCGCGCAGTGCACTGACAGCGTCCCCTCTCTCTCGGCAGGCCCGGCGTCATCACCATGCAGGCGCTCTCGGAGGAGGACCGGCGGCTCTGGATGGAGGCCATGGACGGCCGGGAGCCGGTGAGCAGAGCTTTGGGCAGGAGGCAGAGCAAAGCCAGGCGAGCTCTCGGGAGCGCGGGGCAGGGCGCTCGCTGCCAGCCCGCCAGGGAGCTCTACCGTGGGGCAGCTCCTGCCTCCTGCCAAGAGAATCCTTTAATCCCTTGGTTAAATATTTGAGGTAATACTGTATCTCCCGTGCTTGGATTGCTTGGAGGTGCGGTGCAGAGGAGGAGGGTAGGCTTGGCCAGCACAAACATGCTGCTCTGCCGTGCTGAAAGGAAAACATGGCAAAAAGAGCAGTGGAAGAAAATACGCTGTAGATTTCCAGGGCTTTTGGAGTCCTGCGGCTCCTTGGCAGCCGTTTCTGGGTCTGGTAGAGGATTGTACGTTTCGTGTGAGCGGAGGAGTGTGGCCCCTGTTCCCCGTGTTTGCTCCTGCTGTGCCAAAGGCTTCCTCACCTCTGGAAGGGATTCTGGAGGTTTGCAGAAAACTCTCTGTTGTTAGTTTTTATTTTGGAATGCATTTGCAAACCTCACTGCCAGCTTGAAGAGCACTGGCTGGTTGTGAGCAGGTTCCTCAGGGGGTGCTGGGGTCATGGTGTGGTGACTCTCCTGTGTGGCACGTAGGGCACTGCTGAGCAGCCAAGACAGTCTGTGGCCTCTGTGCCTGCTCATGGCCAACAGCATTTTGGGATATGAAAAGAAGCCGTGTGGAGAGCCAGAGCAGCCTGGGCTGTTCTGTGACAGCCCGTGTGGCTTTGGAGTGGGTGTCTGCACACTGGGCTCCAGCCAGGCTCTGGCAGTCAGAGCAGAGCCCATGCAGGGAGCAGGGTGTCCCACCCAGCACAGCCTGCTCCCACAGACTGGTCCTGGTTTGAGCAGACCCCCCCCCTCCCAGGATCCATGGAAAGGTTCTTGTTTGTCAGGAGAAATGTTCATTGGAGCATTCAGGTGAGGCATGGACACACGAGGCTGTTCTGTGAGTGCTGGACTTGGTCAAGCGCTGGCTTTTGGAACATGCAGCAGTGGGGAGAGCGGGAGGCTGCATGTGGGAGGTGCTGCCCTGCATTTCAGGGAAAGGATTGCGTGGTGGATTGCAGCCAGGTCCCAGCCTGGAGTCGTAGATCCATCAGGTAATTCAGGTAGGACGGGAGCTCAGGAGGTTTCTGGTCCAGCCTCCTGCTCAGAGCAGGTTGCTCGGGGTGTTACTGGTCGGGAGTTGAGAGCATCCAAGGGAGGAGAGGGCACAGCCTGCCTGGCTCCAGCCCAGCTGCTTCCCTGGCCTCCTGACCCCAAGGCTGAACCTCCCTTGTTTCAATTTACACCACCCAGAGAAGCTGTGGTTGCCCCATCCCTGGTCCAGGTCCATGCTGGACAGGGCAGGGGGTAGGACTGGATGAGATTTAAGGGCCTTTCCAATTTAAACCATTCCATGATTTTCTGGTTCTGTGACAGCCTCTGCTCTCTTCTTCTGTCACCTGATGAAAAGGAACCTTTGTTTGGGAGAACCAGCCTGCTCCTCCACCCTTGGCTCTTGACCCCTGGGGCAGCGAGGGTGCCTCTCCAGCTGCAGGTGCCAGCTGTCTTGGTCCCTCCTGAAGAAAACCCTGCCTTGATTCTGGCACCATTTCTTCAGAAACAAAATGGGCACTGTTGCTCCTAATCTGAATGGAGTCTTGTGCTCCTCCAGCCTGCTCACCTGCCTCCCACTGCCCACCTCTGCAGGGATGGCAGAGCCAGTCAGCTGCCAGGGGAGCTGCAGGAAAGCGGTCACCCAGCTGTGTGTGAGCTGTGGTGGTACCAGGGTGCAGCACACGAGCACAGCCAGTCTGCAGAGGTGCAGACACAGATCCTGGGTGCTTGCAAAGAGCTGTGCGTGCCAAAGGTTCTGTGGAGCAACCAGGACAGGACTGCCTGGATTATCCTGTTCCAGAATGTGGTCATGAGAACTCCTTCCAAACCACACAGGTGGTGGAGCCTGCGTGCTGCTGTTCTGCCCTATCGTGCCCATCAGCTGAGGTGAGGGCAGCTGGCTCATCCAGCACGTCAGGGGCTGTGGCTGTGCATTAATGCCATACCTTGTGGCACTTAATTGCTAATGGCTTCCACTGCCCTTCCAGGTGTGGAGTGGGAGCGATGGGAATGCCGCCTGCATGGAAAGGGATCCAAGAGACACTTTGCTGCTGAAGGTGGAGGGTGTTGACACATGAGGCAGCTGCCTGTCCTCAGCTATCCTCCTCCATCCATCAAAAATGCAGCTGTGGGCTGTTCTGTTTGGGTTCTTATCTTACAACACCAGGGTGCAGCATGTTATATTCATGTTACCTATTCCACAGGGATTTCCTTGAGCAAGAGATGAGGATTTAACCTTTGGACTCATAGAAATATCCATTCTATGCTTTGACTGTATTTCTGTAACCAAAGAACCCTACTGGAAAGAATGTATGGTTTTCCTTTGATTTGACTGTAGAGTGTGGGGAAGGATTGGCACAGTGGGGATGGTAATTCCATGAGCAAATTCAGGCTGTGGAGAGATTAGCGCGGACTGGAGCTTGTTTCTTAATTATAATGAAAAAAGTAAACCCAAATGTCAAATTACATCTTAGTGAGATTTAAACATAGAATGTGGCTGCATTAGCCAAGACATTTGTCACAACTTGAGAAGATTTACGCTGTGTCTCACAGTGAGCAGCCTCCAGACAGCCCTCATCACGCCGTTAACTCTTACCACTTGTTATTCATTTGGATAAAGCCCCCGTGTTGACTTTGGGTTTTCTTCCATGTTGCAGAGGCTGGAAACAGGAGAAACTGCTAACTCCATGACGGAGCAGTGGTGTTTGGTTTTGTTAAGATACTCAGGATCAGTTTCTTCTGGATTTTCTCGTGTGCTGATGCAGTTTGCAAATGTATGTGGTGGAGGCCAGAGCGATTCTGAAACTTCCTTGGAACCTGAGTCAGGAATAAAAGCTGTGTTGGCTGATGGTGGCTGTGCTGGGCTGTGGGTTTAGGAGAGGCACAAATTAGGCTGTGTCTTGTGGCAAAGAGCAAGGTAAGCATTTAGGTAAGGTTGTGGTGAATGAGTGTGGAGGAGGAGAAGGAGGAGGAGGAGAAGGCTCGGGGGCCCTTGTGGCCCTGCACAACTCCTGCCAGGAGGGGACAGCTGGGTGGGTCTGGCTGTGCTCCAGGGAACAGGGACAGGAGGAGAGGAATGGCCTGAAGCTGGGCTGGGGATGGACAGGGTGGGCACAGCAGGAATTTCCCCATGGAAAGGGGGCTCAGGCACTGGAACCGCCCAGGGAGGTTTGGGGTGCCCATCCCTGGAGATGCCCGAGGAATTCCTGGCTGTGGCACTCAGAGCTCTGGGCTGGGGACAGGGTGGGGATCCGGCACAGCTGGGACTCGATGGCCTTGGCTGGGGAGCTTTTCCCCAGCGGTGCCGGAGCCGGGGCCAGCCCGGAGCCACGGCCGCTCCCCACTAGATGGCGGCTGAGACCGGCCCCTCACGGCACCTGTGCCCGGGGTGCACCGCACCCGCACCCCGGGCCCCTCCGTGCCAGGGCAGCGATGTGACCCGGCCCGGGCCCGCTCCGAGCCCTCCGTGCCCCGATCCCTGGGCAGCGATGTGACCCGGCCCGGGCCCGCTCCGAGCCCTGGGCAGCGATGTGACCCGGCCCGGGCCCCTCCGTGCCCGGGCAGCGATGTGACCCGGCCCGGGCCCCTCCGTGCCCTCCGTCCCCGGGCTCTGGGCAGCGATGTGACCCGGCCCGCACCCACGGCCTGTGGGGCTGCTCGGACTGGGGACAGCATTCGCCTCCCGGCTGTGTCCCCAAACTCACAGCCCCAAACCTCCTGTGTCCCTGCTCTGTTCCTCGTCTGTTTCTCGTCTGTTCCTCCCGTTTCTCCTCTGTTTCTCCTCTGTTTCTCGTCTATTTCTTGTCTGTTCCTCCCCTGTTTCTCCCCTGTTTCTCCCCTGTGTTTGGTGTTTCTCGTCTGTTTCTCCTCTTTTTCTCCTCTTTTTCTCCTCCTGCGGTGTGTCCCCTCAGGGTCTGCTGGCTCCTGCACATGGGCTGGGTGCCGCGGCTGCTCTGGATGTGCTTCTGGAGCTCCCCGTGCCCTGCTCCTGTCCCAGTGCTGCTGGTGGCACAGCTGTCAGTGGTCCTGGAGCTGCTGCAGCCCGTGCCAGTGCTGCTGGTGGCACAGCTGTCAGTGGAGCTGCTGCAGCCCTGCTGCTGGACATGCCACCCGTGTTGGTGTGGCAGTGACAGCAGAGCCCAGCCCCGCATTCCTGCCCAGCACACCTCTCACCTCCTCCTTGGATATTGCTTCTGGGAATTCTTTCTGAAATTGCTTTTCATTTTCCTTGTCTAATTATACAAAATGGTGAGAGATTTATTTCCCAGTGGAAACGCTGTCTTTTGAACTCACTCCAGTGCTTTCAACCTCGGCATTCTTGTCATTTTGGCTCATTCAAAAAACAAATTCACTTGAAGGACTTCAGTCCCAGTGTGGCTGCAGGAGGATGGACAGCACCCACTGCTCGCCTTCCCAACCCCTTGTACTGCCCCGGGACTCACTGGAGCTGCAGATCTGCTTTGGCTTGTGATTCATTCCATCTCAGTTGTCAGAGATGGTAGAAAAAGCCTCACCCAGGGCATCTTTGAGCACAGACGGTGTCTGTGGCCTGAGCTCTCTGCACGGGGAGCCCGTGGGCGAGTGCCGCAGCGATCGCCGTGTTCTCTGCTCTGCTCTCCCCAGGGTCTGCTCCCTGCCTGCCTCTCCTGTGTCTTTCCTCACAGCCTTTTTCATGCTGAGCTTTGATCACGCTCTCAATCCCACAGACGTGTTTCTGTCAGCTTTCTGGAAAATATGTTTTTTTGTGTGCTCTGTCTTGCAGGTTTTCATGGCCTTCATCCTGCCTGGGTTTGTTTGCTTATAGCAGATTTCTTTTGTTGTTCTCTATGACCTGAGTCATTCCTGTTGCTGCTTCTCCATCTCCCTCTCTCTCTTTAGTGAACAGAACAT